GAACGTGGCTAAGCAAGACAAACCGTTTTCTGCTTAATTAGTGGCTCCTTTATGGAAGGTTTGCTGCCTGAAGAGAACCCATTAGAGGAGGAGAGCTCATTTACAGAGATGCACCTTCTAAAGCTATTCGAATTTTAAATAAATAGTGGAGAAGGAAATTGGTGGTGGAGGTGGGAATAGGGGTGCTATGGAGGTAGAAAAGCTTCTACAAGAGACGAGCTTTGCATTCCAAGCAGAGTGCTGGGGAGATCAGCTTTCCTAGGCAAACACAGAAACCTCTAAAATTTTAGGCCAATAGAAATGACCTCTGTACCATGGCTGACTGAAGATATAAATAAACTTCAACATGAACAGCAGTGTCAACTGTGAGAGGAGAGATGAGAGTCCAATTGGGGCTTATTTTTTAAAAGTCCAGGTTGTTCTGACTTCCATTTCAGGGAGGGCATTCATGAGCTTAAAGCTGCTGCTCCCCGCAGTGAGGCCCCCACCCCTTGCCAGGCACCAGCCCCTGGGTTACCTAACCATTGAGAGGCAGCTGCACCACACATGAGTTAAATATAGGCTGAGTTGTCTACATTTTACAAGCACCAAGAGTGTTATCTGAGGAAGCTGTCACTTTTAATGACAGCGCAAACTTCCAATTACCAACTGGGTAATACACTAGGGAGCAGGGGTGATTGCATAAGGATGGCTCACAATTATTAAAAGTTTACATGATGACTTTTGAATTGGGTATAAATATTTCTCACAAGGCAGGTGGGATTGTTTTTCACATGGTCTATATTGAAGGCTGAAAAAAACATTTTATTGAAAGTTATGCATTTTGAGATTTATCAACAGCTTAGTCGGGGATGCAAGGTGACAGCCATTTCTTTAAGAGCCTGGCAAAGCTGGAAGGCTGTAAAAATGGCCAGGTGGTTGGTTCAAAGTCTCAAGTACACCTACAAGCTCACTGGCAAGTCACAAACTCAGGACAAGCCCAATGCAAGAGTTAAGGGGTCTGGTAACAGAGAATACAACTGGGTCCTCTTCTACCACCTATGGTCAAACATTCACCCAAGGAGCCCAGTTTTCTTTGGTGCCGGCTACCTAACTTCCGTGGCATCTACATAGCTTTGTCTCTCAGTGGTAAATATAGACTATTATCAGGTGTTGCACACATTCTTCCATTTAGATCAGACACCCCTTGATCTAAGTGAAGGCAACAATTTGTGTGTGTCTTAAATCACCCAACTTTGTGAAAATTTCCCTGATGATTCCAGTCTCCAGTGATCTCTTCATTTACTAAATTTTAATTTTTATTATTTTTTTTATGAAATACACATTTTTTAGAATTAGTTTCAGCTGTACAACACAGTGCAATAGTTATACTTTTTACCCCTCGAAGTGACAACCCCCCTCCCCCAATCCACCACCCCATTTCCCCCCAATATCATACATATCTATTACAAATCCCTTGACTCCACTCCCACACTATACTCCACGTCCCATGACTATATAGTTGTAGTTGACATACAATATTATACAACATCAGCTTCAGGTGTACAGTGCAGTGATCAAGCCTCTTCCCCATCCGTGATGCAAGAATGTGACCTAAATTTTAATTTAATTGTGATTTTACTACCTAGCTGTGAGCCTTGCTCCAAATAGACCAGTTCTTGGGGACAAGGTATAATGATTTAAAATCACCTAGAAAGAGGGGAGAACGGGTGATCAATGAAGACAAGTGCTACATGCCTGAAACTAATAAAAAAAAAGACAAGTGCTACATTTCTCAATGACTTAACAAAACCACTATCACAAATGTAATTAAAAGATTTAATGATCATTAACAAACAGATTTAGATAAAGAATCTAAAGGTTGATTTCTAAAGCAAATGAAATGTGTTCTCAAGAGGCCATTTCTGCTACACTAGCAGAAAACAAGTTCTGGCCTCTTCATGTGCACAACCCCATCGTGGGGTAGGTGGGACAAACCACTTATGGCTCCAAAGCCTTCTTTTTCCATCTCCTCCCCACATTAGCCCACCTACTTTTGCTCCAGAGGATTCTAGGGCCTGCTCACATTACCTGCCAGCCCTTGATGGTGTACAGCATTACCGGAGTTATCACTAGACTAAGGCAAAGGAAAGCAATCAGAGAACCTAAGAGAACAAGAAAAGGGGGCATACATTTTCACAGTGCCACAAAGAATGCATGCTTAGCCCCATCAAGAGCTGAGCTTAGGATAACAATTAGAAAGTATAAGCATCCAGCGAAAGTGAATTGGCTCAATACATTTACACATCCATATAGCCAAATATCAATTAAAATTATGCAGATCTTTTTTCATTGAAATAGAAAAGATGTCCATGCTAGGAGAAAAGTATGCATAGTATAATTCCATTTTTTATTGAAACTATACTTATATGCATAGAAAAAAGTAGTCAGCTACACAAATGGGTCTTGCTGACTGGTGGGATATGGGATTTTTTTTATCTGCAGGTCACTTTTTTACAACGAACATGAATTACTCACATAAGAAATAATCGATGATCCAGAGTCCCCATTTCTTTCCTTTTTTTTTAACAGACATTAACAATACTTAACATCAGCTTAATAATAAAATATACTCACTCAGTAAAAGTGTTCATACCGCCAGAACTCTACCAACAGAGTGGACTGTAAATCTAAGAGCTAACCAACCACATAAAAAGGTGGTGGTAGGGGTGAGGGTAGGGAAGAAATCCTCTCTTTGAGATAAGGAAACAATCAATTTACCGGGGGAGTAGTGGCCTTCTAACAAGTGAAAAGGAAAGGAGACCAAACAACCTGTTCCATTTTCTATAAATAAAACCTTGGAAGGCGTATCGCCAAAGAAACACAAGTCAATATAAACCTTTATGTACTGGGCTGCCAAAGTTCACTTTTTGACAGTATATTAATTATGTAGTCAATAACCATGGGTTTCATTAGTGTATTAAATACCACGATCAATATTATTTATCCTTTTCGAAGATAGGCCGCTGGGGGGAGGGAGAAAGTGGGGGAGGGGAAATTTTTGACCCTGCAGTTCAAATAAGTCAGAACAGCACGCTAGAGATTCACAAAGCTTTAATGGAAAGCATAAAACACCAAAAGTATGGACAGAAATCAGATTATTATCCCCTTTTTTTTTTCTTGCCTTCTTCACAATGAAACTGGAGGGAATCCAAGAACCGTTTAAAATAAAGGCGAAATGATTAGGTTTTTTTTTCCTAATTGCTTAATGCTGATGTCATGGCGGACACAAAATGAACATTGATCTCTTAAGTGAAAGATGAGAAATAGAACAACATGAACAGCTTTTTGAGGTACGCTATATCCAAGAGAATTCTAAGAGCTGTGGGCCAGAATCTATTTAGGCAATCCTCAGGGACTTAAATCTCTTCAAAGCATCACAGTGGAGCCAATTTCTGATGCTTCTCTACTGGTGATCCGATTTTTTGTAGGGAAATCTGCTAAACATCCTCCCTAGAGGGAGCCGCCCTCCATCAGGACACCCCTCCCTGCTCCCTCGTGGATTTCTAATCACATCCATGTAGATATGCTGGTTCCATCACATGGTCGTCACAAGAGTATGGTGACTGGTACAATCTCTCGAGACGCACGTGCATCACAGTAACACTGCTAGTCATTTCTCCTCATGGGGTAGACAGATAGACATATGGGGAGAGAGGGAACGCTGTGAGTGGTAGATACAAGACTGGTTACTGGGCTGGCCAAGTGGCACGTTGGTTAAGAGTTGGCTTGGGATGCCAGCTCAGAGCAGTAGGACCCCGGTTCGGATCCCACATGAGGGCCAGTGATGCTGCGCCCTCTAAAGCTAAGATGGTGAACAACAGCTTGACTTGGAGCGGGGCTGTCGTGAGTCGTCGGCGACAGCATAGGCTGCAGTGGGGCTGGCCGGCAGCTGACGTGTGCTTTCGTGAGCTGCCGTGGGCAGCTGTCCAATGGCCGGCGAGCAACTGCCTCACCCGGGAAGAGCATGCTGATAATACCAACATGGGCTAGTGAAGCGACATCCTCCACTAGACTGAAGAATGAAAGGACAGTAACTTGTCTGTTCCCCTCCCCTAATTCCCCAATAAAATCTTATTAAAAAAAAAAAAAGAGACTGGTTACGGGACTGGAAGCTAGACTCCCACATTTAAACCACCATTTGTCAACCCAGAATAGTGTTTAAGACTATAATTTTCTAGTCAATGCTTTACAAGTATAAGCAAGGTCAGACAGAAAAGAACTTCCACAAAAATCGGTAAGGCCTTGACCAGAAAATCAAGTACAGCCTAGTGACCATCTTCTGATATTAGAATGTATCCAAAACAATTAGTGGCCTGAGAAAAAGACCCTCTCTGTCTGTTCTGGGCAATGGAAGCCATCCTGCCTAGAGCTGGCTGGTTCCTCCCAAAAGAGGGGGCGCTAAGGATGCAAATGGACAGATCGTGACTCTACCGCTCCACAGAGGGCTTCTGCATGCAGCGCTTCCACAAATCAAAACCCAGGTCCTACCACTGACGGCTGCCTACAATGCTGCCTGGGTACTTGCAGAAGATGTGCAGCAAATGCCAAGCGGTGGGTTGCAGCAACCGGATAGATAATTAATATGATTAGGAACACACAGAGCAAGCATGCACTTGCTGACTGAAAAGCCCAGTAGTATAATTACTGTTTTCTTACCAGCTCACTGTCTGTACACATTTCAAAGCCTGGTTGGTGTTAGACTGCTGTGTAAACATCAATAAAATCCCAAAGTGCCAGATCATCAGCATTCTTCAGCACAGTGGCTTTTTGTTTTTAGTGTTTTCATTCTTTTAAAGATGCATTTCAGGGTTGCAGACATTAGGAAGAATGATCTCCGTGCCTTGGACTAATCTCCGAGTTTGTAATGAGTTAACATCTCCCCCAAGTGAATATTTATTATGAAGGCTAATTAATTGCTTTCCAGTTACAAGAACCCTCTGCATTCAAAGAAAGTAGGATTCACGTGCAAAGAATATACTGTTTATTAAGACAAAGCAAGGGAAAAAAAAGGCTTCTTCCTTCAAAGTCCCTCCTATTAACACAGCTTTAATCAAGAAATGAATCACAAATGCAAGAAATATGTACAGGTAGAGAAAGTATACATTCACCAACCCAAATGCAACATTAATTGAAGTGAAAACTAAAGCAATGCTTTGTAGTTGCCTGGAAGTCCCCAGGGGACAGACAGCAAGTCAATGCTTATCAGCCTTCCTCAGAAGAGACAATTTTGATTAATATCAGGCCCATCTGACTTGGTCTATTAAACCCTGGAGGAAGGATATTCTTCAGATATAAAAGATATGTCTTTGATTAATAATTCTCCCCTTTTGCCATTCCAAGCATGAACAACTATGTGGCACCTCTAGAAAGAGAGCCTTTGAACTCTAGGAAGGCACGCTTACTAAAATACCAGGTTCTGCACAACCACTTCTCGGCTCGCCCTCCTGAGAAGGAACCCAAGTTGTGAAGGTGTCACCACTGGAGAAGCAGAAACCCTCGTTACATAATTTATTTTACTGTCTGCAGATTTAGGGTCAATCACTTGTGACATAATTCCTGCTTGACGATAATGACACCTTAATAAAACCGACAAAAGCCCGAAGACGAAGGAAGTGAGTGGTACTACACTACCCGCCGGTAAGCCCTGTGGTCTGACTGTTAACACCGCAGTCATCTGAGTATATTCTCCTTTGCTTACCAGTGGGGTCCAAGACACACATAAGAGAGGAAATTGCTTAGTCCGCCATAAAGAGGCGCTAGGCACTGCGTAGCTAATGTGAAATTGTCACACGGGGTGAGAAGAGATCAGTTTCATTTCAGCTCTTTATTTTCAAACATCTGCCCAATCACCACTGCTCTTTTCACATTGCTGCGTTTCTCCTGATGTTCATGATCAGCCTTTTGCCAAATTCTCTGTAGTCCACAGGCTTCACGTCCATCACTGTGGCCTTAATTCGAGACTCGTCCTTTGAGAAGAGAAAAGCAGTTTTGTGAACACAGGGAAGCCCGTGGCACGAAGCAGTGATGACAGCCAGCCCCCCTTTGCCTCAATGACGCCAGGAGAAAATACAAACATGTGCTGGATTCAGAGTTCAGAAATTTAATAAAGAATTCTAAGAAATTCTAACAAGTAAGAGCCAAGTCCAGAGTTTCTGGCCCTGGGAGAGTGGACAGAAGCCTCCTGCATCGCAGGCCCCTTCCATTCTCTCCTCATGCTCCCAAGCACTCAGAAACCTAGAATCCAAATGGGGAGGGGGGACCTTCAAGGGCTTATCAAGTTCAATTTATTCTCTTTACAGAGGGGGAAATAGAAACTCTGAGAAGATAAGTGACTTGCCTAAAGCCACACAGCTAGTTCTGAAAGCTGGGTGTGGTGTGAAAGAAAAAGTGGCCGTGGCAGAGGAGAAAGACCTGGTCTGAGTCCCATCTCAGCTCTGCAAGAGGCGACCTCTCTACCACACCGTGTCCTCCCTTGGCCACACCGAGAGGGGACTGAATGACCCTTCAAATCCCTGACCCCACCCTACTCACAGACATTTGACTCCCTATTCATTTAATGCTTTATAAAAATAAACACATCTATCACCAGGTATGAAGATTATGGTCTAGTAATAAAACAGCACGAGTTAACCCTGAAACAAGTGGAGATGTCAGGATTCTCCCTCCTCTTTTATTCATTAGGACTGAACAGAGGCAGAATGGGGTGATGCTCAGAAAGGCTGCAGAGTCTAGCTCCCGGGCTCACACACTTTAGCGGGTTCCGTAATTACTCAACACAGTTATATTTCTAAGCGTGGTTAAGCAAAGCTCTGAGCTTGGACTGCCTGGGTTGGAATCTTAGCTCTGCCATTTGCTAGCCTATGGCTTTAGGCAAGCTACTTATTCTCTGGATGGCGACATTTTTCCTTGGTAAAATGGGGATAACAATAGTTCCTACATATAGGATTTCTGTCAGGATCAAGTGAGATGATTTATGAAAAGTAAAGGGTGCAGAACAGTATCTGACAGATAGTAAATGCTCAATAAATACTGTTTTATTATGACTATACAATTATATGATGTTGTGGGCAATTTAAGGATTTTCAAGGTAATTTTAACTACATGTGGTCTTTGTTTCATATTCTGACTTTAGAACCCCAACCTTGTAGAACATGTAAGTCCACTAGACACATTATTAGTCTCTGTCAGTACACAAATGGAAAAGCCATACAGCATTTTCCCGCCCTCCGGAGATGCCCGACACTGGACAAGACCCTTAACCTTTAAGTCCATTTCCTCTTCTGAAAACGAGGATAATAAATGGTATCTCAGTGATGGGAAGATTCAATGAGTAATACATGTAGGGTGCTTAGCACGGGTCTGGCACACAGTAAGCAATTAACTGACAGTTAATATTGTAATGTTGTTGTGGGTGACACAGAGCACTTTCCCACTGCTAACCCTTCTGCAGCCCCGGTGACCTTACTTACATTGTAGGTCTCTAGTTTGACCCTGATCTTGAATATGAAAGATCGAAAGTTGGCATTCTGGAAAATTTCCTCAAATGCTTGCTCATTCTGCAAAGAGAAATATAAAACTTGAGGCTCGAATACTACTGAACCATTTCAAAATATCTATCAGACTTTTAAAAAGGCTTTGAGAAAAATCTCTCTGAGGAAATTATCACCCCAGTGGTTTGAAATACCCAGGAGTGACTACAGGTGATATTTTACTACATAAAACTGTTTAAGTAGAATTTTATTAAAAATTAAAATACTCCAGCAAGAGCAGTCAAATTTATAGAGACATAAAGTAAAATGGTGGTTGATAGGGACAGGGTCTGGGAAAAGGGAGTTAGTGTTTAATGGGTACAGGGTTTCAGTTTAGGAAGATGAAAAAGTTCTGGAGACGGATGGTGGTGATGGTTGCACAACAATGTGAATGTACTTAACGCCACTGAGCTTACACTTAAAAATGGTTAAAATAAATTTTATGTTATGAATATTTTACCAAAATAAAAAATTTGAAGCACTTCCAGGAAACACATTTCTAAACTTCAAAAGTTTGTGATGAAACAGATCTAAGGCCCAGCATCTTCAATGTAAATTAAGAATTATAAAACCATTCAGTAAAAAGTTCACGCTGTCACATACATTGTTTCAGTCTCAGTATTTACAGCTATTAATTTGGTGAGCAGGTGAAGAAGGCAGGTACAGTGGGCAAGGTTAGGGAAAGTTTAAAAACATGTCCTCTCCCTTTCTCTCACCCCTCAAATACTATTTGATTAAACTTCTTTATTAAAACAAACCCTGGTAAACAGAGCGGGATTAGAGAAAGTGTTTTATATAAATATGCATAAATAAATTTATAGTGATTTTATATAGTTCGTATCAGCTAAGTGTTATCTTTGCAAGCCACATGGAACATGAAAATGGCTGTTACATAAAACTCTTTGTGTAAAGGTTACTTCACACACACAAAATAAGTCCTCTGGGCTTTCAGATATGTAAAGAAAACAATGTGTTAAACCTTCAGAAAATTATATCAGCTGCCATTATTCTTCCAAGATTAGGGAAAGCATGGAGCGCATCCTCCAACAATATCATGGTTCCTGAGGGAAGGGTTTCTGTATGTCCTCATTCACCAGCAGTAAAAACAGTCAAATGTAATAAGCTCATAAAAAAATCCTGAAAGGCTGACTCAAGCCTTAAAATCTGATATGAAAATAGAGGACCAGGCAAAACAGACAAAATATACCATAGTACTTTAAAGTCAATTCCAGTTATTTCTATAAATGGGCTTGTTAGGATTATTTCCAGGGATCTCACAGACAATTTAGAAAAGAAATGGGGACACAGGAACAGAACTGAAGACAGAAAAGAGTCAGAAAAACAAGCCAAAACACATGTCAAATCCCCTTTAATGCTTTTATAAGTATTCTAAACAATTTAGAAGGAATGGGGGGAGAAAACCTTTAGATAGATGTCAATTTGTGTGGCCAGAAAATACAGCTTCTTTACACATTTTGAGCAACTATCTTCCCTACGTTTAGCATAATTAGTAATTTATTCCCTGCATTAAATAAACCTAAAATGTAAAAATAGGAACTTATAAAAATGAAATGGATAAAGTTAATTTATGAAAGTTACTTCGTAAGAATTGCATCTGACCACCTGAAACAGCAAGTACCTTATATGTGACTTTAAATCAGGATTTGGCTCAACTTTTCAGGAAGGTGTTTATTATGTTTAAAAGGCACACTTAGGGATGGCCGAGTGGCTCAGTTGGTTAAGAGCTCGCTCAAGAGTGCAAGCTCTGAGCAACAGCAGTTCGAGT